AATAAATTTTTTTAATGTTTAAGGGATAAATCTAACAAATACTATTTCCTTATAATAATATAGCATCAAAATAAATTTTTTTATTATTATTACTATTGTACATGCTCTTGTACTCTGAAAGCTGGGGGCGTTGACAATGCTTTGAACTGAAATTTTATCTATCCCAAGTTCTAAACTTTCTATGAAAAATCTATTTCCCTCGCCATTGAGTAGGAATGTTACTGATGATCAAATCCAAACAATTCAGGAGCAATCCTAAGCAATGACTCCAGAGTGCTCGGATGAAACTTCCGGGCAAAAAGAAAGCACATTGAGCTCCGGCCACCGTTGTAAGTACAGTTAAATCCATGGCGGAGCCGATTTAAGAACTCCATCGAGATATCCTTCCTCACAAATCTTGAGGGGTGCGGCCCTCCTCTGGACCAATCAACCCAAGTCACGCTCCGGTTCGAATTCATCTCTGGATGAAGCTTCGTCAATATGGTAGCCAAGTAGTGCTCGTCCATGTAACACGGGGGGTTGCAATGCTTTCTGAATATAGGGTAGTATTTCTGGTCGGAAACTATCTTGACGGCTAGCTTCCGGTGAACCTCGAACCACTGAGACCCTTTTCGCCAATCAGAGAGGGACACCGTAGGCCACATTCGCTTGTTGTAGCGGCCACGGCCTACGGCCCTGGGATCGTCAAATGAACCCACGAAGCTTTGGCTGGAGTTAATGAGGTAATTGTAGATTGTTGGGAAGTTGAACAGGGGAATGCATGTTTCGGAGAGAAGTATGAATCTTTCGTTGGAGAAGTCGAGCAGGGCATTGGCTAAAAGCCGCCGTTCAGCATCGATCATTGTTGGCCATCCCCATTGAGCAGGCTGCAATACAGAAAACCCAAAAGCATTGAAAATGTTCGTTTCTTGTTGAGTTTTGGGTCAATGATTTTGTTCTGATTTCTAATTGTCTGACCTGGCTTGGGATCCTGCGGTTGTAGAAAACAGGGGACGCCGGTGGCTCACGGGTGAACTCCGGTGAAGAATGGATGTAAATTGAGTAAAACCCTTCATGTCCCCTGAAGAACTTCTCCCACAGAGGAGCTAAAGGCAGACTTCCCCTGCTTAAGAACATGAATGCAACTTTTGGAGTCAGATTGAATGGGAATTCCATTTGGGGCACCATTGACGCCCGCCATAACAGCTCCTCATCGTTCATTGAATGCCAGACATTCTCAGGAGCAATCCAATCTCTCAACTTTGAATGAGATGAAGAGAGAGAACAGTTGCAGAAAATGTAAGAACATGGAGGCGTAGGGGATGATGAAGAAAATGTGCTGAGTTGAGGGAAGTAGGGATCCTCAGAGAGGAAGAAGTTCCTAGCATGGTTGTTGATGAACATTCCAAGAAAGAAAACAAGAGAAGCCATTGACAGAAATATGATCATGCTTGTTGCAATGAGAAATTTTCCTTCTCTGACTTCTTTCTTGATCCTAACAGAGAGTTCCTTTGCAAAAACAGTAACTTTGCACCGGGTCATCCTGGTTTAGATTTTAGAGTTCAGATAAGAAAACAGAAAGTAGGACCTGTGATTCTTTGTGTAAATGGAAATGAAGTTTTAGGGAGTTGTTTTGAAGAAACTAATTGGGATAATTGCTGTGCCATGTGTAGGGCCTAAAACGTTCTGCTTTAAGGAAGGACACATGGATGATTAGGTTATAGAGCAAATTCTTCAAATATGAGAAGCTGAGAGATTTCCGTTTTCTGCAATGGGCGTTACCAGCTCTACTGATGGATAGGCGTGAATTGACATAAGTGAATGTACCAAAGAAATGCAGGGGAGAGATCATGAATATCATGTGTTTAGCTAGAGAAACGCGGCTTAAAAGTAAAAATGGTTATATTTGCCCTATTTTAAAGTGTTTCAAGCCCCAATTTAGCAGACATATCGAAAGCAAACAAAAACTAGTTAAGTAGGATAATCAGGAAGTGTTTCAAACCAAATAAAGTCACTCAACACGGTTAAAGTGACTTGTAAGTTGGACACGAAGGACCTGTTGGGTTTTGACCATTGAATTGCAGGAACAATTTTAGGGTTGTTTGGGGCAAGGTGGCAAGGGCCTTGATTTCAATCATCAATCAGCAACCCAGAAAGGACTTTCTACATCACTTCAGCCACCACAACTCTGGAACCCTATTGATGAGTTTTTGTTGGCTTTCTTCAATATGTCTATTAAAGATGCCAATGATGAAACTCATTTCATCAGTAATCACATCATAATAATCAATGAAATCTACACTAACGTCATGTCAACATCTGTTATACAGTGTTGTGCTAGCAGCCTCTTTTGCAAAGATTATATGAAGACAATACTCAATTAATGTATGATCCATATAAGTTTAAAATGACAACATGTATAATGCAAGACTTGCTATGTGCTCCAAATTTATAAGTACACCTTTACCTGTCTTATTTGGAACTAAGCTTGCTTTTCATTGAGTAATAATATATACCAAATCCAGCAACTGCCCCAGCAATTAGCAATCTAGAGATCCCAAGCTTCTGATAGTTTAATAGGAACCTGCTTCTTAGATATGAGCAGATCCATCTGTATAGGAAATGCACGCCACAGGTTTTCTGATACTTCTGAATGGAAAATTCCTATATAAAGCAATCAAGCAATATATGATTCAGTCCCACCAGAAAATAACAAATGATACAGATATTTACCAAGCAAAATTTGTTTCTCATATAGTGAAAACTGATTAGTCCTATGCAATAAGTTTATGGAACCTGTATCTGTTCATCTGTTTGGTTTAATAAATCAAAGAGGAAAAGCAGAAAGAAAGAGGTCCAACCTAGGAGTAAGCTAGGTGGGTCAGAGAGCATCTTTCCTCATTTTGAGTCAGATTTACCCACCATACCAGCAAATTCAACCAAACTGCAATTGAAAGTTTCTATAGAGAAGCCCTGCACATTCTCAGAGTAAAAGGTTGCCATTGGTTGGAAAAATGGTATGTGAAAATATGCTTATGTTACGGAATTGTTTGTACTCAATTAAAGATTGAAACATGATCAGCATATTGGTGGATAGGTATCTATTCTCTTGTGGCCAATTTATGGCCAAGTTATCAACATTATTAAAGTGACAATAAAGTACCTATTTTAATTTACCCCAAGCACCTATTCTTGAATGAAAAATACTTGGAAAGGATGTGAATACAGTGCAGGGTCACTTAGGTTACAGCTTCAACATTAAGGCATAAGAAAGAAATAATTAGACAGAGATGCGGGTAAAAGGAAGATAAACCAGGAAAATAATACCTTTGGTAACTTATTTTGCTGAGCCAGATGATCAACATGTAGCCTGACATTTGATGCAGCAGGAATCCAGAAACTACGGTCAACCCCTGAGTATACATTTGCTACTATGTCAAACAGTGTTTCAGCTCCATCATCTATGGCTCTCAAGATGCTTGCTTCTCTGTTTCTGCGGTTCCTGCAATGAAGAAGAATTGTGAAAAAAAGAGAAAAATATCCAACTGTTATTCTTTCCATGCTGCTATAAAATCAAGGTAGGCAGGATATCATATACTTGGACCCAATTATACAGTGGGTAAACAAGGGAAATGTGCTTGGAAACTTAGCAATTAACCCAACTTGTCAGAACATTTTTCTTTTTGGAAGTAGCTAACATGATTGAGGAGGGGAAAAAAGAGAAGTTATTTTCCAGGTTGAGAGATGTTAATTTCCAACATTTAAGCATTTTGATGAGGTCCAATAACAAGTGGTTCTTGAGGATCCACAAAAAGAATGATTTAGAGACACTGTAAGATATATTTCATACTTAAGATATGCACAAAGCATGTTTTTAGGCCACAGATTGGCTCTCCCATGCATGGGAATCAAAACATGTGGCGAAAGCTCCATAAATTTGTAAGTTGACTGGAAGTATTCCTGCATAAAGAAACAAAATTTTCATTTCAAAATAGTTCATACAATATGCAAATAGACTGTACATAACTGTGAAAGTAGATACAATTATTATTTTATCATTTGTATGTCATATTTTTCCATTTTTAATTGACGCATCACTTTTGATTTGTTTGTTTGTTGGGTATATCAAACCATTAAGTAATAACATCCATGGGAAGCTTTTGATAAAAATTCAACATAAAGTAGAATGATTCTACTTTTCTCATGGCAGCATATTTTTAACCAAAATCTAATATAAAAAGGTATGGTTTAGCTTATTCTCCCCTTTGTACATTTGGGAGGTCAAAAGAGGGAGGGTTTAAAATCCTGGAACTCTCCCTCATAAAAAAGGGGTAACATTGCTGGTCCAGGCCTCAGTGACTTTAGCTTAATTTCAGTAAAAATACCTACACAAACACTAAAATGTAAGACTATGCTAAAAGCAATTTCCATACATGAAATACTACAGTTAGAGGTCAAGCACACTTACAGCCATGTTTCCACCAGAAGTAATGTCCAGGACAGCACTTCCTTGACTGTAACAAATTCATTGTTGCATTAGCAAAGAAGTTTCCAGAAGACAAAATAAGAAATTGAGAACAAATAAGCCTTTATCTGTTTAGGCTCAGAATTTACTAATTTAATGTGTTTTGTTTCCCAGTTATGTCACACCGACATCTGCCTTTCAATTTCATTCGAAAAGCATTGCTGGGTAGGTAAAGTTTTGTATTGAAGGATCTAACTCCTTACCATGTATGTCAACATCTCCAAGTCCTTGTCTCTCTCCACCTTTTCTTTTGCTAAGAAACAAGATTTGGGTCCTATTAACTAAGATGAATTCTGCTTGAGTTATTTTGAGCTATTTCCCAATGAAGAAACAATAACATAATCCATCTTTCCTAAAAGGAGGATGCATAAAATACAAACTCACCAACATGCTTGTTTATAATAATTTAGTATAAATCTTATGCCTCATCCACACAACAGTAAAATCAACTTCATTAATTTTCTCTTAGTTGTAGTTTACTATTATAGAGCAGCTCTCCACCAAAACATACCCCACACAGTGATCACCCACAATCAACGAGTGAGTACTGACATGAAGTAGTGCGACATGACCATCTGTATGTCCCTGAAAAAAGAAGAATATTATACAAATAGGTTATAAGTACCAAATTTATGGCAGTGACATATAACCGTCAGAACTACAATCCTGCCAGCTACCTTCTCTCTTTTCCTATTCTTTTTGGTACATTTGGAAGGCCAAGGAAAGAGTTGGGATGTGAATCTCAGACCTCACCATCCTACAGAAGGGATAACAACTGCCATCCAAACCTCAATTATTTGTCAACAAACTTTTCATTACACTTTTATGGGGTGGGCTCTAATGAATTATTCCATGCACACCGGCAAATTGATGAATTAGTCAAATTACACAATGGTTTTCTTTAATCTCTTTAGACAAAATCTTCTCTACAATCAATATATTGAGAATAGTCTCTTTTTGTAATATGCAATGTTATACATTATTGCCTCAATGGCATTGAAATTTCATATAGGAAAGAGGAAACCATACTATTGACAGTAAGATTCTGATACTTGTGGACTTGCTAATGTTTCATCACATCACATCGTATAAACCAGTCATCTTTACCAAAAGAAGGAAAAACTTTAAACATTTTCAAGAAAGAAACAAGAATGGAAAGAGATATACCGGAGCAAAAATTACAGTCAGTCTCTGACCACCAACCAAAATGTCTTCTCCACCAGAAACTGAAGTATGGCCGAGTGACCAGTCACCTGTAATGATAAAACATAATGATAATAACAACATAAGCTTTTACAGAAGTAGCTGAAATGGACTTCGTTTACCTCTTCCTACTTAACCCCATATATGCACTGTTCTGAAACACATCATATCATCTTATCTCGTAAGCTCCAACAATATGATACAATCTTAGACATAAAATTTTTATTCTCATCCAAAATAAGAAGTATTATTTGAAAGATGATGTCTTGGGTTCGAAACAGTAAATGTACAGAGAAAGAGGGGAAAAAACCAGTATCTGGAGATGTGTACACACAGTGGAAAGCAACTATTTTGATGAATATTATATAAAGAAACAGTATGATAAGATATATAAATTCTAACACAAAACAAACTATTTATTGTTAACAATCTGATCTAACCTTTTCCAACACGAGACATGGTATTTTCATGTGCTAGTAGTGTTGCATCAGGATTGCATTTTTGGATGACTGAAAGGCCTGAATAAACCATGAAATAGAATATCATAACTAGCAGTGACCCTTTTAACACCAGAAAAAGCACATAGAATCATATCTTTAGAAGCGAACTTTGGATTGCAGATAAACAGCTTGACAGCATTTCATCAATAATCTTTTCTTAAATAGATTTTTTGAAGTAATGAAAAAAAAAAATTTGAAATCAATGTGAAATTTCATATGCATAAACACCTGTAAGTAAATTGGACGGATACTAAGAAAAACAAAGCTAAATTCATATATTAGATAAAAGGCTGAGTAATAGTTACCATCAACATGATCATGGTGGTGATGAGTAAGAAAGACAACTAGTCTTTTGGGCAGAGCAGCAACAATTTTCCCTAACTGATCAAATAACTATCAACCTTGTCAATATATGCATACCTTAAACAACCTTATTGCAAGATATCATCTCATCCAAGTAAAAGCTGGATTTGAAAGAAAAATATTGGTTTGAGGTAGTTGAGCACAAAAACTATTTATAATAACCTCATATTTTCATACCTCATCATGGTACTCACGTAGGCATCCAGGATCCACTATTAAGGCATCACCATGAGCAACAATTCTATTATCCTTGGACTCATCTGAAACATGTTCAGGCGCAAAAATGATCAAGTTCGTCGTGTGGAAGGGCTTGCCTGTTCTACTCTGCATCGGTACTAGTATAACACCAGGAGGGTATTCCTGAAAATGAGAGTCAATCAAATTTCTAACATAACAATGAATCTTAGCTCCAGCAAACATATTTTGATGGTTATCTGTCATACTCAGAATCTCCTAGAATTTAAATATGAGAAAACTAAACCACAGTCTGTTTTCCAAAATAAACAAACAGTTCAGAAAGCAAGAACTCTTTAAGAAATGAAAGAGATAGGTGCTGAGAGTCAATTGAGGCTGTTGTGAGGAATGGGTTAACTGCCTTTGCATTTGTATAAAGATCCTTTTAATAGAACTCCAAAATTTATGAAAGTTTAATCTATATACATACCTCTATGAAGACTGTTCAAAATCAATCTATGAGTAATGACAGTTAAAAGTCATTGTTTTATAAGGAAATTTAGTCATAACACCCAAATTATTAATGTCAAAAAGGGGCATGTTTGCTTCATATAATTCTGTACTGTCAGTTAAAAACAGCAAACCTGGAAATGCAACGTTTCTGGTATCATCTTTGGTGCAGATTGTGCAATGTCATTTATAAGACCAACGACTATCAGAGGCCCTATACGATCAGTGCTTGGTTTCACCTGCTGGAGCCAATTTAGACAGCTCTCAGCAGACATCCACATGCATGGTGCTGCATTGATGATAGGAGTTGTTCCAAGATTAATTGATAACACTTCCACAAAAAAGGAATGTTAAAGTTACAAAATTTGCGAAATCGAAGTCCATGTGAGTTGATTTCTGATTACCATCATCATATTATTTCCGTGAAGTTATGGCTACCAATTTAACATCGTGGAATATTAAACCTGACCCTTTGCAAAATATAGCAATGATGACATTAAGAATGGGTGTAGAAAACAAAACCTTGAAAATCTTGACACCCAGCTAATAATTTTCCCACAACAAAGACTGTATTGACCGGATGGCCAGGTCCAAACTCAGGTTCCTCCACATACTTCAGCAGCCTCCACCCTCCTGCGTCACTTATTTTGAACCCCAATTGCTCCATTACCTACCAAAATCCATTAACCAAAGTAAAAATTACAGCATCAAAGAGAAAAAAAAAAAGAAGGAATGCACATTCTTTCAGAATATGGTTTAATTACCTGATTAAGGCCCAATTCGACGTCGAATTTCCTCAAATTTACCTTCTCCAAACATAAGTTCGCACCTTCTATGAAGAAGCCAGGTTTGGTCTCTCCTTCTAGAAGGTTCAGTCGCGTGGAAGGCAGGTCCCAGAGATCAGAATCCACGTACGAATCATACTCTTCTTCACCAAATTTCGGGGGTGGAGTTTGCTTTAAGAGCAGAAATTCAGCATCGTTCGCCGGATTTCGCAGAATAACTGCCAGATTATTAGTGGCCATTTTCTTCAAAAATCGAACGAGGTCAGCTAGAGTGAAGAAGGAATATCGTCCTGTGGAGTGAAGGGAGAGTTAGAGTTTTGATAGGTGGGAAACCGGCGGGGCAGTTGCACTGAACGGCGGTGATAACAATGGTGAACTTATTGTGACGGGGAGTAGGTGGCGGTTTCTTTCCGTCGGCATTACGCTTTTAAGTTTTAACTGGCTGCCGAGTTCGTTCTTAGTAGTAGCTTTACACGTGCGAGCACCAACACCAAACGGTCCAAACCAATATTCTCAACGGGCCTGACTGTGGGTCTGTTGCCCAATTCGGCTTGAAAGAATAAAGGACTCTCGGATCCATGGCCCAATCTAGAATTTGTTGAATAACCAAAATATATGTACGAAATTCAAAAAAAAAAAAAAATGATACACAGGCCTGCATAACATTGTTCATAATGGCAGAGTGGGCCTTCAAAAAAAAAAAAATTGAAAGTTCAAATTTAGTCTAGTAAATGGTAATTCGGGAAAATAAAAAGTTCTTGAAATTAACATTTGGTGCTCTAGCTTAAGAATGAGAATCTTAACTAACAGTGTAGTTACTGAGTGTCCTTAAGATCCTGCTTCTGGCTGATTCTTCTCCAAGTGGTCCTGCAAGATCACGAGGTTGGTCTTCGGGGAAAAACTCCGATGCTTAAGTCAGTAATTTTTCTAATGATCTTTTTTTCTTTTGTTCCACTTATTTATCGAACCTTACCTTGTGGGCTTTGTCCGCCTTGGTAAGGCACCCACGTGGCTTGTCCACATTCACGTGACCCAGTCAACCTAATAATGGTGACATGGTGCGCCTGACAGAGTAGATATTTTAGGTGAATGTAACCTGCATTAACGGAGCAACCGCATTAAATACGCGTGGTGCGTTCTGGCAGAACAAGTTCCTTGAGAAAAGGTGTTCTGATACGGAGAAATGATCAGATAACGGTGTGTCTATTGTGGCTGCCATACACCCACGACGATAAACTCTGAGTTTTGCAGCCGAGGTGCGGTGAGCTCTGAGCTCCGAACTTTGCCTTGCGTCTCGTATAGCTGCCCTTACAAACAGGTCGAGGATCAAACTCTAATTCTAAATTAAACTTGACCTAGTTGTAGTTAAGACAAGAGTTATT